TGGACTGAGATGCTAAATCTGAACAAAGAGGCCCAGTTTCCATTAGGGCAGTCAACATACTCCTTTGAGCATAAAGCAGACCGTGCTATATGTTGTTACAGAAGCACAGTGCTGCTCATGATGGCGGGGGTGAGAGCCTTAATTTTAACAAGGCAGTATCTGATTTAGTTTTGCGGGGTAGGTAGGGGTCCTGCATGAGGGGTGTTTCAGATGGAGAAGGCCACGGGAGCCAAAGTCAGAGGGTAGGAAAGCAGGCAGTGAAATAGAAATGGTGAACTCTAGGGTTGAAGTCAGCACTACCTTCCCAGGGGTGATGAGGATAATAGAGGGGTTCAGGAGATGAAGTAAGAGCAGTAGGTGGCCACTAGTTTATAAACACTAAAGGCAATGCTCAGAGTTTGGTCCTCAAACTTACAGGAATTGTAGGAATTAGGTCCATTGGGATGATTGACCTTCATTGTCAACTTGACCGATTTTAGAGTAACCATGGAAACACACCTGCGGGAGTGTCTATGAGGGCGTTTCCAGAGCCCTTTAACAAACCGGGGACACTCACCCTGAATGTAGGCAGAGCCACCCCATGGGCTGGGGTCTGGATGGGATGAAAAGGAGAACATGACCTAAGCACCAGCTCTCTCTACTTCCTGAGTGTGGATCCGATCACCCAGCTGCCTCACGCTCCTGCTGCGACGCCTTCCCTGCCATGAAGGACTGCACCCTCGATCTGTGAGCCCAAACCACCTGTATTTCCTTATGATACTTGGCCAGGCATTTCACCTCAACCATGGAAAAAGTGACTATTACCTCTGCCAAACAGGAGTCAATGGAGGCGGAGGTGGGGAGACGGAAGTGGAGCCAGCGTAGGAGGCTGGTACCGTGGATGCCCGATCAGTCATGGAAACAATGGCTCCAGGAGTGCACACAGCTGAGAGACAGAGGACCTGGGGGAGAGGGGAGAGTGTGGCATGATTTATTGTGGATGATAAAGTGAGCTGAGGGCAGTGTTGTTGAAATGAAGAAAGATGTAAGGCATTTGGAGAGATGCCTTACATGCTATGGCTTGTGGCTTAAACATGGAACGCCCCACAAAGACACATGTGTTAAAAGGCTTGGTCTCCAGCCCGTGGCACTGTTGGGAGGTGGGAGGACCTTTAAGAGATGTAGCCTAATGAGAGTCGTTAGTTTACTGAGTGTCCTTGAAGGAGCTAGAGAGAACCTAGCAGCTCCCTACCCCCCACATCTTTCCTTTTCCTCCCTTTCCTCCTCCTTCTCTTCCTCTTTTTCCTTCACCTCAGGTAGCAGGAGCTGAGAGGTTCTCCTCTACCATGTCCCACGTGATGTTCTGCCCTAAACCCTCCAAAGCCGTGAGCCAAACAACCCCTTTCTCTTTCTAAGTTGACTCGACCTAGGTGTGTGTTACATGGGGGAACGCTGACTAACACACACCGGATGCTGGAGTTGGTATGTGATGTCCCTGGATTCTTTGTTCAGAGAAGAGGACTAAGTGGAAGCCGGTGCCAAAAATGTGGCTGTTAATCAGATTGCTTGGAAATCACAGAAAGGGGCAGAGGGCCCTGACACAGTTTCACGAGGGAGAATCCGGAGGAATGTGGGAAAGGTGGGGGAGGAGGATGAAGGAGCAGTTGGGAATGAGCAGGGAATCTGGGAGCTGCCCTTCTGATGTGACGGCCTGCATAAAGAAGGTAAGGGGAACCTTTCCCTTTCTGTAGTCTGCTCCCCCAGGAAGAAACAGCACCCAATGACTTCTGGGTCTTTCTTGGAGAGCTAGGGGTTAGGAGGGCCAGGGTAACTAAGACTTCTGGTCACCCCTTGTAGATGTAACCAATCGTCTTATTAAAATAAGAAACACAGAGCCAATGTAAAAGAGAAAGCTGAGAGGTCAGAGCTCAGAGATAAAATCTTACCTCCTGCAGTGCTCCTAGCTTCCCCAAGAGAGAGCTACTTCCTGTTTGTCTGTGTTTAAATAGTCTTTCTGTTCTGCCTTCTCATTGGTTGTAAACCCAACCACATGACTGCATCACTGCCTGTAAGTACCACGCTCCAGGTCTTAAAGGCGTATGTCTCCAATACTGGCTGTATCCCTGAACACACAGAAATCTACCTAGCTCTTCTAACCACCACGCTCTTGCTATGGCTCTAATAGCTCTGATCCCAGGGGCAACTTTATTTATTAACATAAAATTAAAATCACATTTCAGTACAAATAAAATATCACCATAACCCCCTATCCCTTTCATTGCCCATGTGAGCCTTGTGTTCCTGGGACAAGGCAGCCTTCTCACTGCTTCTGGAAGGGCTACTTCTGCCATAGCACAGGGACCTAGGCAGCTGCTTTGAGGCAGGGGGTTAGTTATGTGGCTTAGTGTAGGCTCTCCAGCATGGAGCGGTCGGGACCCACTCAACAGTGCGTGGTCCTCACAAGCCTGGCACTGGGTCTTTCCATGGCTCCAGGCTGGGGACTCTCACGTGCTTTTTGTGCTTGCTCCCCACACCATGTGTGTGTCTCGGGGTGTGGTGTGTGTGTGTGTGTGTGTGTGTGTGTGTGTGTGTGTGACATCCACTCCTGTACCTATACTATTTAGAAACCTTTCTGTTCATTCTGACCTGACTCCCACCCTGGCATGCAGTCCTGCCTCAGCTGCCCCTTTTACCTCAGGCTTCTAGGGAAGCAATTGCTTAGCAGGGATCCAAGCTCATTTCTCCATCCTCTTTCTAGAGCCTTCTAAATCCCGACTGCGGATCCCCCGGGAACTTTTTGAGCCAGCCTCTCCCTAATTCTTGTTCAGAGCAATTTTCTTATGCCCCCAGAGGCTTCCTGTTGCCCTGAAGACAAAAGCTGGAGTCCCTGGCCTGGCATCTGTGCCCTTCCGTGGCCTGTCTCCCCTGTTCACTGCCATGCGGAGATAAACGCCCATCCCACGCACAGGGCCTCTGCACACACACAGCTTCTATTCCAGAGTTGGAATCATTTCCCAGCCCTTCTCCATACCTCAGTTCTTGCTGTTTCCACTTCATTTCCTCAACACTCTTGAATCTCCAGCTTGCTTTGCAAATGTTGTATCCTCAGGGCTCTGAACCATGGAGCCACTTGAGAAATACCCTTTTCACCCATTGTCTATAGGGGACGACGCCTTTCCTTTCTCTGTCCTACCTCCAGAGCTTGACCCAGGGCTCATGGGAGAGTCATCCCCCCATGAAAGAGTGTGCTGAAAGAGTGGAGCAACGGGTGACCTCTTTTAACCCCATGGACACATTGATCACAGGAGCCAGATGTGTCTCTGTGTCTCTTTACCCCCTAGAAGGGAGATGTGACTCTCCCAGAGCAAGGCTCTGTGTTGCTTTGTAGCAGGAACACCCCGAATTCCACCTGGATAAACAAAACAGAAGTGTTATTTGAGAGGCAAGCCCTGGCCAGTGCCTCCCAGGCTTGACTCCCGTTATCCTCTGTAGCCAGGACTCCCAGCAGCATCGGGCACAGGCCTGGGAAGTAACCTGGCCACATCCTCTGGCAGGAAGCAGACTAAGCCAACAGGTGGTTGGGCTTTGGAGTTCTGACCCATTGGCCTGTCCTTTCCCAAACAGGCCTGCAAAGCTTGGGCTGGCACCCACTTACAAGGAGTGGCTCCAGAAGACAACTCGTAAGTGGGCAAATGCCAGGACTCAAGGGCATTGGCAGGGAGGGGCCGATCTGCTTGCCCAGGACACGGGACTAGCAAGGGATGTGGTATCATCTCTCCCACGCTGAGCAAGTGGAAAGCAACAGGAGGTTAGTCCCCAGCCTCCAGAGGAAAAGATAGGGACAGAGGGTCAGGCCAGTCTGTAGCCATGTGGATGGGCAAGGCTTGAGCCAGACTTTGATGAAAGTCTTTTCACTGTCACAGAAACCCTAGTGACTTTGAAACTGGGCCAGGGTGGAGTCCTTTCAGACCAATGTCCTGTGCTCAAGGGGTCAAACTATCCTCCACAGACTGCCCTGAAGCAGGGGAACTCAGTCCCTTCCCGGCAGCCATTGATGGCTTTGCTGCCAGCTCCAAGGTCTCCTTGATTTTGTGTCTATTTGCTGCCTTGGGCTTTGGAGAGCCGACCACTTATTAAAATAATCCCATCAAGTTGAAGGGCCACAGAATTACCAAGTTCCCCTCTTTTTATTATTATTTTTTTCTTTCTGGTTTTTTGAGACAGAGTTTCTCTGTGTAGCCTTGGCTATCCTAGAACTCACTCTGTAGACCAGGCTGGTCTCAAATTCTCAGATCTCCTCTTCTGCGTCCCAAGTGCTGGGATTAAAGCCGAGCACCATCTCCGGAGACTCTCCCCCCTTTTCCCCCACAAATGAGAAACTGGCCTGGGCCAGGGGTGCTGGAGAGGAGGGGTGGGGGTGGGGGCTCTTGCTAGCAGTGCTCATTACTTCAGAGGGCTGGGAGTCCTTGTGACCAGACCTAGAATTAGAGGATGACAGCTGCTCTCCTCAACCCTTCAGCACACTAGGAAAGCCTTCCTCACAGCAGCGCCTCCTGGCTACCAACCTGCTGGGGTAGCCGACCTCGGTCCATTCTCGCAAGCTCTGACCTCATTACTTAAAAGTCATCGAGTCAAACACATCCTGGAGATTATTCTCACCCCCCTCCCCCCTTCCCAGGTGAGAGAATGGAAGACTCCATGTGTGAGCGTTCAAGGGGACGCTACAGGTAGGATCACAGAGCTATGGTGTAAATCTTCAAATTCACTTGTCATCTCGAATTTTGACTCTTAGTGACTAGACTGAGGGAGCTACTCTTACATCCTTTTCTGACAGAGTCAGTGTTTGAGGGGGATGTCTTGAAAACGGATTCCTGAGCAGTAAAACCCTGCTTCAGGTGAGGGCCTTGTCCCTACAGCCCACAGCTCCATTTGAAAATGACAACTCCACCCACCTCTGGCTCCGTTCATGCACATTGCTAACACACCCAAAGAACGCAGGTTGCGGGTGGCTGATGCACCGTGGTTTGCTCCTGTTTTTCTGCCTCCCTCCCCTGAGTTTACTATTTCCAAAAGACACCAGCCCTGCCACGGTGTTAGTCTACCCTCGCCAGAGGAGGAAAATCAAGCAGCTGTTGCTGGCAAATTCGCTCCGGCGCTGGGCACCTCCTCCGCGCGCGTCTCCTGTTGCTTCTTCCAGCCTCACTTCCCTTTGCGAAGAGCTCGAGAAGAGGAGGGCGCCGGCGACAGCAGAGGGGTCTGAGAGGGTCCTAGAAGCCAGCGGACACGGGCGATCCCGGAGCCCAGCCCGTCGTCAGCCTTCTCCGGGAGGCGGGAAAGCTGCAAGCCGCGCCCACCGCCCTGCCCCCAGCGCGCCACTCCCGGCTGCTGGGACTCTGCACATCCTCCCGGGATCCGCTCGGAGGGGACCCAACGCCTAGGTGAGCAGCTGGGGAGGTGGGCAAAGTTGGCGCCTTATTCCGAGGGGAGGAGGCTCGGGTGGGGACCCGTCCCTCTAGCGCCGGGTTCCTCTGAGTCTTGTTTGTTTCAGTGGGTGTGTGCCCACGTCCCCTCCGGGGCGGCGGGAAACGGCTTTGAGGATGTAAACAAGGAGGTGAGCATCCGAAGGCCAAGGGTCCCGGGATGGGGACTCAGGCAATGGCGGTGGGCGATCCTAGTGGCTAGAAAAGGCTTTCTAGGCAGCTCTGAGCTTGGATCAGGAGCTCCAGGAAAAAGGGGAGAAGACCTTTTGACGAGGCGCTTCCCTTTTGTTACTTGGAAGCTGGGGACCCTACGGGGAGTGGAGATGCAAGGAAATGGGAATGTGGCTAGATGTGAATGTGGACACATGAGCCACACAAAATGGAACTTGCTGGCTTGGTGTTTGTGGGGTGTGGGCGTGGGCTGGGGGGTGGAGAGGGGGGCCTGGAGAAGCCGTTGGGTTCTACGGCCAGGGGATTCATCTGACCGCATTGCCTTCCCTTGGTCTGTCAAGCCCGGTATCCTTTCCAGGGCCACTGGTACCCTATGCCCACCGTTCTCCATCAGGGCTGGCCCTGGCGGAGCCTCCCCCTTTGTGTCTGCACCGGCTTTCTTATAGAGTTGGCTGAGGGCCTGGGTCTCTCGGCGCCTGCTCCGAACAGTCAGGTTGGAAATAGGGGCCCACCCAAGCTGCCACCGACCTCCAGACCCAGAGGTTGCTGTGTGGCTGGAGGCTTGGCGCCACCGATTGCCCTCAGTCTTCATTCTCTTTGTCTAACCTGGCTTCACGCGCTGTCGGAACTGGGATTTCCAGCTTGGCAGAGGGACCAGTGGGCATACCAGCCCTCAGTGAGAGGACCCCTGGCTCTGGGGTTCTGTCTGCCCTCATATTGTAGATGTATGAATATGTGTATCTGTTTTCCAACTTGGCCTTTTGCACGTGACCTGTCTCATGGTTGCCATGGAAACCCCTCCACTTCCTCCTCCCTCCTTTTTCTGCCCATTCCTCACCTCCGATTGCCTCCCCTCCCCCCAATATGGTTGCCTAGATACTGGTTACCCTTGGCTTTTAGGGGAGGACACCCTATGTCTGGCTCCCCCTCAAAACTGCCTGGCCCTTTACCCACCCCATCATCACAAACACCACAAGCACAAATGCACACACACAGCACACACAATATCATCACAACCTCACATGCCTATAACCCCACACAGTCAGTCCATTAACATAATCCACACACATAACATCATATACATTTATATCACAAGTACACCTCATGAAACCACAACACATAAACACCAAAGACACCAAATGCACATCACACCTCATAAACACCTAATACATCACACACCCTACACACCACAAACACACCAACTACACCAAACACACACCATAAACATCCACACCAAACACACTATATGCACCCCTCCACATACACACTAACATGCATACCACCTATACTCAGCCTTCACTCTGTGTGCACACACAAACTCCACCTGTAACATAAACCATCACACACACACACACACACACACACACACACACACACACACACAAGGCTGGGTGAGGCTGAGCAGAGAGAGGGTGGTTTCCTTGCTGTTCAGCCTTATCCTGGATCCCTAGAGTATGAAGAGGGAGAGGGAGAAGTCCAGAAGGGAACCTCTGACATCTCCCAGGGACCTTGTAGGAGGCGAAAGAAAGGCTTCCAGGCCTCCTTAGTAGAGGGCACCTCTGCTAGGTGCCAGACTCCAGGGGCGAGGCTGGGCACAAACCAGAATTTAAATCTCCGCCGGCTGTGTTCTTCCCTCCCTGAGCCCAATAGTCCCTTCCTACTAGAGGGGGCTCTTTGGAGGGGAGAGAAGTCTGCCTGTTATGGAGAACACAGGTGGACAGAAAGAAGAAGCGGGGAGCAGAGATGTGTGTGTGTGTGTGTGTGTGTGTGAGAGTGAGAGAGAGAGAGAGAGAGAGAGAGAGAGAGAGAGAGAGAGAGAGAGAGAGAAGCCAGAGAGATGGAAGTCAGGGTACTCAGCTGCTATTGGAGTTCAGTTCTCTCCCTCCAGCCATTTTCCCGCTTCTTGATTGCTCCTCCGATCTTTCCTATGCATCTGGGAGGGTAAGCTGCATTCTCATGGGCTGCTGCATCAAAAAACACCTCCAGGACTTGTTCTCAGATGGCAGGAGCTTGAGGGGAGAGTTCCCCTCCGGGTTCCACCTGCCCTTTGTTCTGGTGGAGAATCCATTTTGTTCAGTCACTGAGTGGTTTTCAGCACCTGCTATCTGTTAACTTCTGGGAACACGACAGTGAGGAAAGAGACACAGTCCCTGACTCCAGAGCCTCAGCGGCGTGACACAGGTGGGAAACTGAGGCAAAGGCTCACAACCAGTAGGGGTTGAGGACAGACTTCACAGGCAAGATTTTGGATCCCACACTGCCAGGCCTGTACCTCTTCCCTTCTTCCCTTGGAGACTGTAAGTCCTTTGGAGACCAGAATGTCACTTACAACGTGAGGGTCCCCTCGTAGGTGTGGATGAGAGAGGCGTCTGCCCCATTGTATTTTCTTAGAGAGTGAAGTTGGAGGATGTGGCAAGGAGAGGTGAGAAGAACAACTTCATGGGCCGTGGCCCCTCCCCCGCCACACGGGCAATCAAGCCACCTAGGTTCCCCCCCTCACGGAGAGCACACAGTCCTCAGCCTCCACTCTCTCCCTGTCGGATGCACCAGGCCACCATCTGGGTGCAGATAGTGTCAGGTACCCCCTGGGATCACCATCTAACAGATTGCCCCTATCTGCTCCTCCTGGGGTGCGCTGGAAAGGCACAACTCACAGGAGACAGAGCCTGTGGCCCACAAGAAGCCTGGTTCTAGCTCCCTGGCCCACCCCTGAGTGCTATGCTTCCCAAGGGCAAATGCATTTGTTCCACAATATCTTATTGGATGCACCACAGGTCTCTTGGTGCAACCTAAAAATGGCTTGGGCTGTGCTCAAGTAACCCGAGGCCTCCAAGATCTTAGACGTTTGTTTCCGCATCTCTCCATAGGGGATTTAATCATTTCCAAGCCCTTCCTTCCTCTAAATGTGTATGGCTTCTACGGTCTTGAGTAAGATTGCTTTTCTCTGCAGGTACCAGTGGGGGGCGGGGGGGGGGTTGGCTTAACTGAGCTGGAAAGAGACTGTCTGGCTACTCTGGAGAAAGGTCCTCTTTCACCACTGGCCAGGCAATGGCTGAGAGGCCAAGGATGAGCTGGATGGGGGAGGGACCCGGACAAGAGTCACCTGCCCATTCTGCTAGGACACACATGGGGCCTACAACACGTAAAAGGGACTAAAGGGCCACCTCTGCAGAGTATGAGACTGGGACCAGCATTCAGTGGGTCTCCGAAGACCTCCGGACAGTTTAGAGAGGTCAGGAACACAGCATCTTGGGTCTCTGTCCTTGACAAGAAGCTGGACCTCTCTGGCCAAGGCAGAAGCTCGGGGGCCATGTAGCAGCATCTTCCCTGTTTTAAAATGGAGAAGAACTTGACCTGGGAAATACAAAGCCAGCTTGGAAACAGCAGAGGAAAACTTTTGTCACAGATGTCTGGCTGGGGTGAGGGGCAGGAAGGAAGAGGCCTGGCCACCAGGGATCGAGTTGGGAGTGTGGGAGTGCCTCTGCCCAGTCAAGAACCATGATTTGGGTAGAAAGAGTCAGAGAACCCCCGTCCTCCGCAGCTTGAGAGTGAAACCCCGGCCTAGGTTTTACTCACTCATCCTTTAGCAAATACCAAGTCCCTTCAGTATGGCACACCCTGTGAGTTTCTCAGAACCCTGTAGAGCTGTGGAGCCGACTTTCTTAGTCACTCCTGCTCAGGCTGATCTAATGATTTGGCCTGTCCTTCTCCCTGCCTGCCCACCTCACCTCTGTCTTCCATCCGGAAGGCCCTGTAACCCTCCACAGGAGGGCTCCCCGACTCATGGACAAGTACACTTGGACTCCCACGCACAACCCCTTCTTCACGCATACATAATCCTCTGTCGCTGACACATAAGCACATGCTTGCACGTTTCCACACACCTTCCCGCTTTACCTAGCAGCAGTCTGTCACCCTTGGGATGGCCTATTAAGTTCATCCTCTCAGTCACCAGATCTGTTATCTGTGGCTCCTGCGGCACCAGGCTGGTCCTGTCACAGCCCCTGTGTGTTGCTGTCCACCACTGAGTAATGACAGGTACATGGCCCTACCCTTCAGGCCCTTTCTAGTCAGCTGCATCCAGGTGCCTGCCCCAACCCCATGCTCTGTCCTCTACTTGAGATTTGTTAGGACATGCTGTTCCTGCCTGTGGAGTTGGGGATGAGAGCCTTTGTAGAACCATAAATTTAGGTTCTGAGGCTTTCTGGTTTTGCTTGTTACGTCATCCTTCAAGGCTCCTCTCAAGGGCTCATTCCTCCAAGAAGCTTTATCTGATTCCCAGTCAGCATTTTAGTGAACTTACAGACGTTCCTCCCCCTTCTATACACCCCCATAAAGGCAGGTTCACATGGAGGAAGTCCAGAGAGCCCATCAGTGGAATCGGCCTCCACTGGGAAGTGTTAAGTCCTTGCCCTTGTTCCCACCTAGCCCATCCCTAAGGTGTCCATTCCTTTCTTCCCATGTATGGTCTTGGAATGCCTCTTCCTTGGCATTCCGGCAGATGCTGAAGGCTGTAGTTAACAGAGGGAGCTGATTCACCGTCCCTTTTGGGAGTTTGACGAGACCCAGATGGCAGAGATGAGGACATGAAGGCCTGGAGTTGGGGGAAGCATGATGGAATGCCTCAGAATGCTTAAAATAGGCCATTGAGATTCTCAGGTGTTCTGAGCTTAGGGTGGATTATGACTTAAAGACAGTGATAATGACATGTCAATTAATTACTTGATCCATCAATATCTGTAGAGCAGCTGCTGTACCCAGTTGCTTGGGATCCAGAGATGTTGGCA